AGGGGAACGTAAAGTATGCAAAAAACTATATTTCTTCACGACTTACATCCAAAAAGTCTTATTTGTCTTAAGTTTGCGAGAGCATGTTAGAATTTGGTTTTTATTAAAGGAAATTTGAGGTTCATTGGTGCATGCAAACAAATACTCCTCCGAGTGGCATTTGGTGCAAAAATACTTCACAGAATAGCTAAACATAATTTTTTAAAAACAAACCGTCAATGTTACTGCAAGCAAATTTGGTCCCTTTAACTTGGCTTTACTTCAATCTGAACAATTTTGTATAAACTTTTCCAGTTCTGGAAGGGATAGCACACAAGTGTTCAATGTTACTGCAAACAAATTTGGTTCCTTTAACTTGGCTTAACTTCAATCTGAACAATTTTGGATAAACTTTTCCAGTTCTGGAAGGGATATTGTCTATACATATTTTACTTATTTTGCAGTTTCTTTCTGGTATTATCAACATTAAAGTGCAGTTTGGTTCTCTCTTTTGTAAAAGCATAGGAAATTCCTTCCATATGAAACTGATCTCAATTTACCCAAAACTAATGGCCATTTCTTTTAATAAACCTAACTAAAATGACGATTTATCTAAGTAAAAGGCTTCCGCAGCATTCAGTAAACTGAATGAATCAAAATTGTGTTACTAAATATACGCTAAAACCCCAGGTCTAATTGCATTATGAACGTTGCTTAGTCATTGTCGACTACTGTATTACGATGGCAAAGCATTGACTAGTTCTGACATCGGAAGAAATACGAAATAGGTAGTTTGTTAACGTTTTTGATATTAGCCAGCTCAGACTGTCAAAACGCAGTAAAAGTATAACAGTGCCTGAAAATGAGAATAGAATACGAACGAGTAGGAGTGCTGATTATTTTGGTGGCAGATGTATTAGCTAAGAGACGCCGACACCCGTGTTTCCCGGTACGAAGCTGCTAGGGGTCCGGCTCATCGATGGGTTCACCAGATGGGGTAGAATAAAGCAGAAACACGTGTTTGGGGGATTAGCGTGTGGCTGCATTGTCATTAGTGTCTACACTTTTTCCTCCCATTGGCAGCATGCGTAGTTGAAGTGTTTTTTGAATATATTATAATAATATACTGATAATATAATAATAATAACGTACTAATCTATATGTAAATTGCGGAAGAACGTTCTCTGGGACCAGCATTTTATTTGCCCGATGTTTCTGACTCTTACTGGAGGCTATTGCCAAATAGGCTTATTGCGTGATTA